TGTGTGTGTGTGTGTGTGTGTGTGTGTGTGTGTGTGTGTGTGTGTGTGTGGTGCATGCCCATGGAGGATTCCCCGGAGCTGTAATTACAGGCGGTTGAGCACCACCTGACGTGGAAGCTGAGAACTGAATTTTAATCATCTGGAAGAGCAGCAAGCACTGTTAGCTACTGATCCCCTCTCCAGCTCCTGCTTCCTGAAGGTCAAGGAGTCTCCTACCTCTAGAAAGGAGTATGTCAGATTGGAGGAAATAATGACACACATGTCCTTGGTATGGTTTGTCAAAACTAGTCGCAACATCTATATATTAGCTAAAGTTCCTACTTCATCCAGCATTTCTTCTTACCTAGTATCTTCCGCTCTTCCCGAATACTACATTACAGCTGGTTCTCATGTCTCAGGCTCCTCTTGAGAATGATGGACTCTCAGACTTCAGTTGTTTTTTATGATGGTTTTGAGAGGGGCTGGTTTTTTATTTTATAGTGTCTGACTTGGGGTTTTTCAAAGTATTTCTTGTGAGTATCCTGGGACTATGGGCTTGGAGGAAAAGTGCTGCAGAAATCGGGGGTGCTTCTCTCTTCGAGATACCAAGGGTGCATATTACCAACATGACCTTTATTAATGTTTTCCTAGGCTACCCAGTTGAAATATGAAATGAAATGAAGTTCATTGGGTAACTAAAGTCCAGAATGTAAGTTTTCTTCCCTTTCTATGCCAGAGTCTTTCCAAAGAGGTCTCTAGGCTAAACCTACACTACATGGAGACTACAGGGAACAGGGAAGCTCTATATAAGTAGTGTGTTCTTTTGAACACAAGAGATTTAAAATAACTGGAAATAGGACACTTTAATTTTCTCTACTTTGGTCTTTTTCTGCACACTTTTGTTAGATATTCTAAATGGTTTAACTTCCTATGTAAATTTAAGAATGACTTTATGCATGTCCATCAGAAGATTGTTGGCATTTATAATTAAGGTGGTAGTAAACTGTAGATTAATTTAAAAACAGGTGATATCTTAAAGCTACTGAGTCTTTACTGGTATTTACACAGATTTTTCTTGATCTCACTCACTCTGGAGCTTCTAACACAGAAATCTCATATACATATTTCTGGATATCTGCATGGGCATATCATTTTTAGCACAATATGATAGTTTTGAAATTTTCAGATTCCAACTGTTGATGGTTGATAAATAAGGAAGCATTGGCTCTATACTGATCTTGTGTCCTGAGACCTTGCTGTCTGGGGATTGTTTCCAGCATTTTCTATGGCGTGAGTGATGCTTTAGGATGATTTATATTAATCCTCTCATCAACAAGCAACACTTTGCTTCCTTGACATCTTGAATGCTTTTTATCTCTTTTTTCTTGTCTAATTGCACTAGTCAGCACTGCACTGAATAGGAAATAAGAGTTGCAAGAAAGGCTATCCTTGCTTTGTGTTTGATGATGGGGAATACACACCTTGTTTCACATCATTATGATACTTAAAAACTGTTATATTAATTACAGGTTTTTAGAGGTGTTTTTTTTGTTAAATTGTGAACGTTAACATCAAATCCTAAAATGTAAGTATTTCATATTTTTTGAAACTACTTATTTTGCTCACTTTCTACTAATTTTGATTGTGGTATCTCTTGATCCAGTCCAATCCTTATCCCCCTTTGTAAATAGGATCTATTATGAAGACTTGACTGACTTGGTACTCACCATACAGCACAGACTGACCTCAAACTAGGATCAATCCTTCTACCTCAGTCTCTCAAGTGCTTGGCTGACTGGCATGTGCCCATTTTGTTTCCTGACTTTGGTTCATAGTTGATCATTTCTTTTTCTGCTTTATAGCTTTGGTGGCATGTACTTTGTTTGCATTTCTATGCACTCTCTGTGTCCTCTGATCTTCAAGAGACACCTGTTACTGAACTTAGATAAATTCTTCAAGTAGGATTGGAAGGGAAGTGCTTACTTCCCTCTACAGTATCTCTTAAAGAATCTCCCATCATTCCAGGCACATTGAAGACAAAATCAAGAGATCAACAACAGACTTAGCTCCAGAGTTCTACTAAGCTTTGAGAATAGTTCCCTAACTCATGTGACAATTTCTAGACATTAAAAATAAGATTGCAATATTCACAGCTCATTTTGTACTCAAATGATTTAAGGAAATCCCGACACCTTTGTACCATTCAATTTGTGAATTCTTTGAATAGTGCTGCAAGAGATGCTCTGAGGGTTACCTCTCTCCACTTTCTCATGTCCGTACCTCTTTCAAATTCCTGCTTCTAGTGCCTAAAGAGGTTGCTCAATGGTTAGGAGCACTTCTTGCTTTTCTGGGAGTTCAATTCCTTGTACCCACATCAGGTTTTTCAAAATGCTTATAACTTCAGTTCCAGGGTAGATTATTCTGGCTTCTGTGTGTGCCCACAAGGTAACATAAACTCATATACACATAAGTAAAAATAATCTTTAAAATATGTAAATAAAAATATTCTTATTCTACAAGATGAAGCCTACGTCTTGCTTCTAGCAGAAGGCATGCACATTGGTAGGATGGGACTCCATGATTATATTCTGACATCCAGCACAAATGTCAGAATGCCACTCCAGTGTTACATCATATGGCAAAGAGCACTGGAAGACATTTTAGTGGTTATATTACACAACCCAGATTATGGTCAATCACCCATGACTAAACTGAATTACTTAAGATTCTGCCTTGCTCATGACCTCTCCCTTCCTTTCCACTGATGGCTTTAAAGAAATAGGATGACTGGAATCATATAGCCAGAAGGACAACACTCTGACAATAACCAAGAGCTTGCGAGTGAATTCTCAGTCAAACCTGGGCAGCCTCTTCACTAAAGTAGGTCTCTGAGACGCCAAGCAGATCCAAACATGGGCCTTTACAAGTGTAATAAGTTTTTGAGTCATGATAGAAAATTAATGGCTCTAAACTCTCAAAAAAATTAGGTAATATTTGGTTTGATTTGGTTATTTGTAGTAATGGTATTGAGCACAAAGCCTTGTACACACTAGGAAACAGCTTTCCCCCAATCTATACACCTAGCACTGTGTGCCTTGTGTTATTGTCTTGGTTACTTTTCTATTGCTGTGATAAAACACCATGGACAAGGTAACTTATGAGAGAAAGCATTTATTTGGGGGCTTATGATTTCAAAGAGTTAGTGTCTATGACCAACAAAGCAGCAGACAGATTGGCCTGGCTATGGAGCAGTAGCTAAGAACTCACATCTTGAGATAAAACCATGAGACAGAGAGACACCAGGATAAGATGGAATCTTTGGAAACCTAAAATCTCACTCCCCATGACACATCTCCTCAACAAGACCACATTCCCTAATCCTTCCTGAACAGTTCCACCTACTGGGGACCAAGCATTGAAACAAAATAGCCTATAGGGCCAATTCATCCAGAGGACTACAAATGGCATCTTAAAATCTCAAGTGGTCACTCAGATATTTTGAAATCTTCCTTTAAAACACACTTTTCACTTCTAATAGTAAAGGAAGAGGAGGAAGAAGAAAAATGCTCGTATCCAAGAACAGCATTCTTTATTTCTAAAAATAAATACTTTCAGTTTGTAGTCCATAATTCTGTATGCAAGTAGACAACAAGCAACAGTACTTATGACCTAACGGGTTCAGTCTAGTTATATATTAGTTACTCTTCTTTACTTACATGCATAAACCTGCTTCATGATGAGTGCATAGAAATTACATCCAAGTTTAGTTTCTTTGGCTCAAACTGATATTTCTGTTACCATTTATGTCTTGCACCTAAGCTATAGAAGTATTAAAAGTGGAGTGTTTTGAGTTAAAGTTCATTATTTCAAAAAATTTCATTTTCTGGGACTGGAGAGATTGCTCAGTCAGTAGTTAAAAACACTGGCTGGTCTTGCAAAGGTCCAGCTTCAATTCCCCACACCTACAAGGAGACTAACAACCACCCACAACTCTAGTTCCAAGGAAATCTGATGCCTTTTGATCCCCACAGACACCTACATGGGTGAAGGTATAACACTCATGCACATAAATAACAAAATCTTTTTAAAAAGCAACTTCCTACTTGCCTGATACAATATTCTTTTAGCTACATGATTATGCAGTTCAGAATTTGCTTGACTCAGAATTGCTTTATCAGACACCATTCTAGAAAACAGTATTTTCGTGACAAATTGACAATGTGATGCACCAAATTACATACTTGACAACTTTGGAGTTAAAAAAAAAGATTAAAATAATTTTAAATTGTTTCCCACATAAATTACATACAAATGAGTCACAGTGCCACAGAAGTTTCTTCTAACGTCCTCCTCAGGCCAGATGTAGACCGAAACATAGCATGAAACTCACCCCCCATTTCTACGAAACTGCTTTTGAATAGCAGCAGCCTCCCTTCCTGTGCCTTAGTTAGCCAACTTTGCTTCCTCCCCACAAAGCCCAAGAGCACAGATCTACCTCTTGATGCTAATTCATCTCAGTACGGATGAACTTAATACTTGCCCTGCCCCTTCCCTGTCCCCACTTTGACATTTACTAACAGAGGGTTGCACTTCTGCATTGAAGTCGCAAGAGACGCAGATGACCTATGACCTACTCTCCGAGATGATCTGAAGTAGCTCTGACATGAGCTCTCACTTAGGGGTGATGTAAAGTCATCTTGACCCATATAAATATATGCCTCGTCCCCATACTTCATGAAGTAAAATTAAGGTATTGTGTTCATATAAACTGATCTTTATAATATCGGCTTAATGATAATCCTAGAAGATGAGAAAAATGCTATACTAGTTGGGTGGTAACTGGTTTACCAGCCCTCAAGGAAACATTAGTGTAATAGTGCTAAGAATGTAGGTACTATAGTTGATAGGTGCCTATAGCTGGGAACTTGCTAATGAAAGCTAAGGAAAGGATCACCCTCTGTGTTTTGTTTCTTACTTGCCAGAGACAAATATGATTTTTCAGTGCTGTGTCTATAATTTATATCTTAATATCTTATGGCAGATGAATTAAAAGTATTATCATGAGACCTGAATGGGGCTGAGGCAGGAACCATCTCACGACGGGTAGTAAGAGAAAGGGGCTCATGGAGAAGATTCCTTGGTGATCACAAAGGTGAAGATCAGGGAGATACTGGGGTTAAATTGAAGGTTGGAGTTAAAACAATTAAGTCAAAAGTGCCAAGGAAGATGAAGAAGAGAACTTGCCGTTGAGTATGGGTAAACCATGACAACTAGATAAGAGAAAAGGACAGGTTCTAGGTTGCAATGTCAGTACTGCTGATCCAGATGGCCAGTGTCCTGGGGAGTAGATAAATCTAGATTGATTCTATATTGTTGATATTAGCACAATCATATCAAACGACCCCAGTGTCTCAGACTCACGGGAATGTCAAGGCCTGCCCCTGGTCTGAAAACAGATGTTGACTATGTATGAACGTTCCAGTCAGAGCTCAAGCCCTAGACTGCTGCCCTGTAGAGACATCTTACCAGGGTTAGATAACCTGTGACCTTCTTTGGCTATATATTATAAACTCACCTCCTTATTCAGCTGGATAAGAAATATGCCGAACTTCCTGGATACTGGTGCATCTCCATCATAGCTTATGGCCTACTCCACCCAGTTTTCCTCTAAATGTGTCAGTCATTTCTTCATTTCCTGTTCCCAAATCAGGTCAATCCCAGGCAGGTTGCATCATTAGCGGAGCCCACACAAGGCACAGTTGCCCTTTTGTATAGTCTTGCTTCTAATTCAGCCGTGAGAGACTAAATTGCCGGTAAGGATATATTCTAACAAGAATCTTCCATCTAGTTCAGAAAGGAGACAACCCCATAACCAAAGAGCTAAAACAGGAGCAGAAAAAGGACAACTGCAACCACACCCTGGTAGCTGTGATTGAGTTAGCCCTCAGCCATGACAGAAATGCAAGCTGGTCATAGGAGTGTGAGAACAAACAGACCACACACCTACAATATCAACTACTAGAGAACTGTTGGCTAGCAGACAGAGATCAAGTCCAGTAGCTAACAAATAGAAGTCAGAGATGAACAAAACTGGGCTTCTATTAGCCTGATGGAGGGGGCAGCAAACAAGCAGGGCTTGATCATTTTAGGGTTGGGCAGAAGGACATGTACAGCGTTATCCCTCCATTAGCTCAGCCCATGATGACCTAAAAAGCTGACCAATCTCAATAGAAATTATCTCAGTGCTTGTCAAGTTTCTGCTGCAAATTCTGCAAATAAAAATAAAAAGTTCTACACAAGACATTTCCATGGCTTTTCCCCTCTTGAAAAGGGGCTTTTTTCCACCCCCTCTCACTTTTAAGAGTTTCTCCTTTAATTTCCCACTTTCCCCAGCTTCCCTCAATAAGACTTTATTCTCTTTGCTTACTTCTACACTTGTCCAAGTCTTTAAGCTTCATGTGAGCCAGCTCAAGAACCACTGTCGATTTTTGGTGAGAGTTGAGTTTCTGACTCTGTAAATCCTTATATCATACACATCCAGGGTAAGAAAGACCCAGATGTTTTGACATAACTACACCAGAACCAGCAAAGGTGTAGGAAATCCAAAGATGCCAAGAGCACTGGCTGGATCCAAGGAGAAATGTTTTCCAGCTTCAGTCAGGATGCTGATAAGCCAATAGACCAGAGTCTCTACACCCCTGATTTATTTTTTGTATCTTGTCTCCACTTGTTCCAGGATCACATACAAGGTGTTTTTTAGACTACCTGATACTCCATACTTGGGAGGCAGAACTGCTGGTATGACCGAGAAATATGCCACATAGATCCTCTAGCGGGTATGCCTTAGTTCAAAGAATTTATAGACAAAATATCCCACCTAGATATCTTTTATTAATTTATTACTTATTATGCTATAAACTTCCCTATCTCATCTTTTTCTCAAAAGTACTTTCTCTTGATCAACTTGAGAGTCATTTAAATGTAGCAGTTCTATTGAAAACACTCACACACAGGGCTTATAATAAACGTGTGTTTAGCACATGGTTCGGACTGTTTACTTTGGCATATAGGTAATGAACAACTGTATCAACAGAACATAGACTTTAATGGATGTTGAAATAAAATAGAAAATGATGGAAATGTGAGGATACAATACAGGCATAGCTATTGAGGAAGCAAGGACTGAGGCAGTACCTATGTGGAATTTATGCTGAGGAGGAACAGGAAAGACAAGTTCTTTTCCCACCCTCCTTTTTAGAAGTTTAGACATTTACAGTAAAATATAATTACAGAGCTACAGGATTCTGAGATTTCTAGATTTGGCATCCCTGTTTAGGTAGAAAAAAAATTGAAATGTCCAAAAAAAAATTTCATTCATCTTATTTAGACATCATTACCCCCCCCCAAAAAAAGCAGGGTAATGGTCCCAGGCGCCCACCTCAGCACCCCATTCCATGCTTCTTAGGGAGCTCAGCTCTTTGCCTCCAACGCTAACCTCCTTCCTCGCTGTCATATTTTTTTACTTATGATCATTTAATAGTTTGAAAAAATTTAAATTCTCTCTTGTGAAGGCTGCCCCCAGAGGCTACTGAGGAAATTAAGCAAACAAGAAGTTTTGTCGTCTACCAAATTAACCTATGGAAGGCAACCCAATCATTAGATCCTGTCACTCCGTGTTCACACTTGACTCCAAAGAGTTCTCTGCTGTTTACAAGCATAGTCAGTAAAATAAATACTTTTGTACTTTTGTGGCCAGCATTAGAATGAACAGGCATATTATTTATAATATTATCTAATCTATCGCTTTTTTTCCCCCTGATGTCCGCTTAGAACTTGAGCTGTACTGGATGAAAAAAAAAATGATATAAGACCCAAAAATAACAATGTAAGAACATAAAGGTCAATGCTGCTGTGAACTGGAATGTGAACTTCGCAGTCAGGCTGCACCGCCCCACCAAGCCGGGGGAACTCATCTTAGCAAGTGGTGAGAGAATTGTGAACCCAGCGGATTCAAAGGGTCTCTGCCACGCCCATCAGAAACGACTCTCTTCCTCTTCCACTGCACGATGAAGGCCAGGAATGAATTTCAAAATTTGCTTCCGGACACTTCCCCGTCTGCTTTTCCGGGGCAGAGTCCCAAACATGCTTGAGTAATTGCCTTCCCACAATGGGGATAAGGAGCCACTGCTGGTGATACTGATGCTTCGGTTTCTCCTGGAAGACGCATTCCTCAGAATATCATCTCCGTCCTTAGAGAGAAAGCACTCGTCATCCGTGCTGGTCTGCCGACTGAAGGCGCCCCGGCTAGAGTCCTCAGACACACTTGTCCGGTAGCCATCCTCGCTGTCCATGGTCAGGGAGCTCAGGCGGCTCTTGCAGCTGCTGCTCTCACTGGGCAGTCGGTTCTGGTCCGGGAGAACTGGGCCTGGCCCCAGCAGGTTTCCAAACAGGGACAACTCATCCAGGTCCATGTTTCCCAAGTTCTGGGAGTGAGCCGCATCTCCTGCAATACAGAGAAGAGTCTATTGTGGGATGGATAAGACCACCAGTTCCCCCAAGAAAGCACACCCAACTTCGAAGAAAGAAAGAGAGGAAGGACAAACACCTTGGCCTGAGTTTTCAATTGCAGAAATACAGTTAGAAGGGTTGTCCAAACTAGCATTCATGGCCTAGCTCCTAAGGAAAGGGTCATGGACATTAGAACCTAGAATAAATTAAAGCAAGATATTTTAGGCCCATAACTTGGATGTAGAATATACTCCAAGAGATTCATGTAGTGATGGTATTGGGAGATGATGAAAACATTAAAAGATGCAGCCTCCTGAGAGGGTTTAGGTCACTGGAGACATGGTCTTGATTATAACTTCTGTGTCCTGGTCCGATTTTTGTTTTCTCACGTTCCAATTGCCAATAGAGCTTTCTTTATTCTACTGAGTGCTTCTGTCATGATAGGCCATGATGTGCCCAAGCCTTATGGACTGAAACCTCCAAACTCTAAGCCAAGTAAAGCTTCTATTTCTGTAAGCTGATTTACCTTAGTGGCAGCAAGCACACTTGCTGTGAAATCAGTTCCACCCAATCGACACTATGACAACATGACCCTGTGAACCTCCAAGTGTTAATTTCTGAAACTGGGTAACCCTGGAAACTTTTATGAAGATACTCACAGAAGTGAGGTCAAAATAAATGCTCAGAGAAATGCTTCTCTGACTTCCATTAGCCGTCTTTAAAAAGAATCATAAGCTTGTTATCAAGCCATTTAAGGTGTGATGTGGGATTTCCCCTCTGAATGCTGTGAATGTCACTGGTTAATAAAGAAACTGCTTTGGGCCTATGGCAGAGCTATAGGGGAACAGAGTTAGGCAGGGAAAACTAAACAGAACGCTGAGAGAAAGAAGGGCAGAGTCAGAGAGAAGCCACGTAGCTCTGCTGGAGACAGAAGCCAAAACTTCAGCCAGTAAGCCCCAGCCACGTGGTGATACACAGATTAATAAAAATGGGTTAAATTAAGATATAAGTGTCAGCCGATAAGAAGCTAGAGCTAATGGGCCAAACAGTGATTTAAATAATACAGTTTCTGTGTGATTATTTTTGGGATGAGCAGCTGGGAACCAACAAGCGGCCCTTCCTACTACAAAGGCATATGGAAGAACAGTTGCAAAGCAGATAAAAGGCTTATGAAGTCAATCACACTGTTCACTCTCAATATTCCAAATTTCCTCCTGGAATGAATGGGAGTCCTAGAATGGTGCTGAGCTTAGAAAGCATCTCTGCCCTTCAAGCTTGTGCCTCCAAAAACCGAGTTCTATCTGCTAGGCTGGGTGTTTCCATCAATGCTTCATAACCCACAAACGGGTTCCCCAAACTGAATGATGAGTCACACCCTGTCCTACCCCACCAGATTCTCATCACTTGGTCAGCTCGTGTGCTCAGAGAAGCATAACTGAGAGCGTGAGATGTCAAGTGTGCCACAGGCTGTCCTGCCCCACCAACTTCTCATCACTCGGTTAGCTAGTGTGCTGAGAAAAGCATCACTGAGAACGAGAGATGTCAGGTACTCCCCAGGCTGTCCTGTGTTAGTCATCTTTATTTAGTTCTCCTGTGTCTTTGCTTGGCAGCCCAAAGAGATACTGTTCTGATTCCCTTTAATCTATGAGGTCAACTGCAGCCCACCTGCATGGTATTTTCCTTTCTTCTACTACAACTTGCTTGGTCTCATCTTACAATGAGCTGCTATATCTGGATGAAAGAGCAACTGCTTTACAAACCCTCATGTTCTGGGTGCTTCCTCTAGTTCTAGAGAGAGAAGATGCATGAACACCCTCAAAAAAGCAATAATATTGTCTCTAATATTAGATCTATTTATGAATTCCTGTACATGTGGAAACTGTATACACAGGGCTGCTTGGGAACCATCAGCAGGCAAAGGCTTCTGCAATATTCCATGTCTAGAAAAGCCAGGAAGTTGAACAACAAGGCTTCAAGGAGGACTTTGTCACTCTCTCTTTCAAACAAACAAACAAACAAACAAACAAGAAACCCACAACCTTTTGATTCCTCAAAATGTAGTACAACAGAGCTGGGTGTGTTGGTACATTCCTGGAATGTTAGCTAGCATCAAAAAAGGCGAGACAAAAAGCTTTCAACATAGCAAAACAGCAACAAAAATGAACTGAAATTCATAAAAAGAAAAAGTAGGCCAGTGAGATGACTCAGCGGGGAATGGCCAACCTAATGACCCGAGGTCAATCAAGGGGACCCATATAGGAGAACTGACTCTTGCAAGTTGTCCCCTGATCTTCACATATACACACTGTGGCACGAAGCCTGTGTGGGAGCACAACACACACACGTAGTTTAAATAAGTAATTTATAAAAAGGAAGGAGCTCATACAAGCTTCAAATTTGTCTACTTTGAAATGCAAATCAAATCTCTATCCTGCTATCAATGACTAAATGATGGCTACGGGTTTATAAGGAGCTCCAAAAGCCAATCAAACAATAAATAAAAGACTGTAAGAGACAAAGTAGAATATATTCGATAGATATTTGTCAAAAGAAGACTTGAAATTGGCCAACAGATATATGAAAAATGTTTGGCATCATTAATTAACTGGTAAACACAAATAAAACCACAATGATTTGCCTCTACCCCTATAAGAATGTTTATACCAAAAAGATACAAGATCAAAATTAATGGTGAAGATGTGAAAAATAAAACAACCCTCCCACAGTTAATCTACTATGTAAAATAGTATGTAGGTCACACACACACACGCACACACACACACACACACAATCACACACACCCCTATCATATAACCCAGTAATGCTACTGGCACATATATGTATATCCATAGGAAACATAATCAGTGTATCAACAAACCTGCACTGGCACGCACATTTTATTACTATTCACAGAAGCCAAGAGATGGGCTCTACACTGTTGACTGACAAATGGAAGGAGAAAATACAGTCCATGCAGAGTGGAATACCATTTACTCATCAAAAAAAGTGAGAAATTTCATTATTTGTTATAGTATGGCCATGGAGATTGTTATGTTAAATGGAGGAGTCCAAATACAAAAAACAGAAGTATAAAATGATCTCAGTTCCATACACTATCTGAAAATGTTTGCTGGTATAGTAGCTGTTGAGAGCACAGTGGTGGTTACCAGAGGCTGGGCAGAGGGATAGAGAGGGGAGAGGTCACTGGAAACCCTGATCCATGGTCACTAGTCACAACTACATAAGGGTGGGAACTTCAGTGTGCTTTAAGTGGTGGGGTAGCTACAGCTAATAGGAGCCTATTATAAACTTCCAAGAGCTAGAAGGAAGATATTTTAAGAGCTTTTACTAACAAAAAAGAAAGGAAGAAAGAAAGAAAGAAAAGGAAGGAAGAAAGAAAGAATGAATGAAAGAGAGAGAGAGAGAGAAAGAAAGAAGGAAAGAAAAGTGAGGAGTTAGTTTATTTAGACTTAAATGTCGTGTAATATCCACATCATAGCATATCACATGATATCCATCATCAGATATAGTTTGCTTGTCTGGTTTTATGACTCGGTTTTAAGCAATTTTTAGATGGCAGCTTTTTCTGCAAAGTATTACAATTTGAACAAATATTCCAGGAGCTAAATAGAGGTTAGGGCAGAGTGTTATTAAAGAAGAGTTGGCCTACATTCCAGCCATACAGCTGGTGACTTCAGGACATTACTTGTGCAGAGACTTCCTTCCTACCAGCTATAGTGGTGCATGCCTGGGATTTCAGTGTTTGCGAGACTGAAGCTTAAGGATGGTAGCTGGGGCTGCATCATGATCCCCAGGCAATGCAGGACACTGTCCCAACTGATCTCCCAAAAAAGAAGTTTGCTTCCTCAAGTAACACAGCAAAGAGCAAACCAGCTGACTAGACTCAACTCCTTGCTTCAACATGCACAGATAGCAAAGTGCCTATTACCAGCCTAATAGTCTTATATGTCTGACTTGGTCCTGAGAGTCTCCGTATAAATGTAACCCATATAATTTGAAAAACAGTTGGTATTCTATCTATGAAAGATGTAGCTCTGCCAGTTTTGAATAGCCTCAGCCAGAATACCAGGCAATGTTATCTGCAGCTCTTCTGGAATTATTGGTCACCTATGGCAAGTTTGTGTATTCCTATGTCCTACATGTTTTCACATGCATATGCACTGTGTGTGGAGGAGTGTAGCTTGACTCCCCATCCTCCAAACATATGGGTCACGCCAGTGTTCATCCCGGCAAAACACAGACTAGAGTCCTTCATCTGTGCTAACTAGACTTTTACTGTAATAGCTATCATCTTAAAATATTTGGAGGCAGAAATACAGAGAGGGTGTGATGAGAATGTGGTTTCCTGACAGGAAATTGAGCTTACCATGCAGCAGGCGCTGTTCCTGTAAGTGCAGAGACCTGAGCTCCACCCACTTTTTCTTCAAGGTTTGCTGTAAGAAAGACAGGGGGAAACGTTCTAAGTCTTAGGAAATACCAAGGAGGCAAGGCAATGGAGACATACAGCATGGCCAGCTACTCCCTTTCTTTAAAGACTTCTGCTGAATTACATAGGATATTAGAAATTCTGATTGCTCAGAGGTCAACAAGTATTCTCTGCAGGAACAAGGAAACCAATGAAGTTCATGTACCTTTATTTCTAAAATATAGAATCAGATTGCTTTTCCACATGAATTATACAGATAACGTGGAATATAAAGCACAGAGTCTTAGGGATGGAGAAGTTGCAGTTGTAAAAGTTTATACCAACAACTACAGATTAGTAAACACTTAGTAAATACCACCGTCAATCAGAGTTTGGGCTCTGAAATAATTCTCTTATTAGACATCTATCTAGAACACACTTAAGCATTCTAACTTTATTGTCCATTTTGAGATATCATCTCATGGAGCCCAGGTTAACCTTGAGTCTTAATCTTACTATGCAGTTGAAGATGATATTGGACTTTGGATTCTTCTGCTTTCAATCCCTAAGTACATGCTCCACCATACCATTTATGGTGTTCTAAGGAGCAATCCCAAGGCATGATGCTTGTTAAGCAAACATTCTACCAACTGAACTGCATCCCCAGCTTATACCCAGACTTCACAACTCTCTTTCCTTGGCTGCTATGGTAAATGAAAAGAATTACCCTCATGAGAATGAGGAGACCATGAGAACCAGCACCCAGCACGCAAGGCCTGGCCTGGTCCAGTCACAGAGCAGCCAAGTCAATAGAAGTTAAAGCCAACTGGGAAGCAGCCATATGGACAGGCAGGTGTGACATGCTCACCCTGCTTTCTGTTTCCTGCCCCCTGCTTTACCCCTGCCTTTGGCATTTTAGGTCCCCATAGCAAGGCCAGCATGTGGGCACAGCTCACACTTGCCAAGGGCATTTGCCCACAAGAAAGATGGCCTAGTTGGAAAAGAGCAATACTTTGTACACCATCACCTGGAGGGACCAAATGGTGATTAAATAGAAAGATTATTTTTAATGTACATTTGAAAGGAAATGGGAGAAAGAGAGGAAGAGAAAATCTCAAGAACATCATTAAATGAATAAGCGGAGCAGGGGTCATTCCTCGGTCTTCTCTGCCTTGAGGGATACATATCTCATCATTTAAGATTAGCTGTGAGACATAAATGCAGGATGGAAAACAGAAATGAACTTCAAGATACATCAAGCAGAAGCATCAAGAGTTAGCTAGGAATTTAGATCCTGTGCTAATATGTGGTTTCAATGTGTCTATTCAACACACAGAGCTCAGGCAAATTCCCTTCCTGACAAATGAACCCTGGCAGAGTATTAGGCACTAAGAAAAAGAGGCTGACAAAAGTTGCTAGCAGCTGGAGGTGCCTTAGGAGACAGGAACAAAGCAATGTCTCATAATCTGAGCCACACTGTGCGTTTACTTTCTGAGAGAGGCAGTCAAGCTGCCAGACCTGGCCCTGCAAGGGGAGCTTTGAAACTCAGTGTGGAGGGAATAGTACAATTGTCCCTTGGAAATGAAGAAGCTGACACTCAACTCCAAAGCATCTTCAGATGTGCAATTACAGGACGGCATGCTACTCAGTGTTAGGAATATTTCTTAGACGAACCTCTCTGCCAAGGCAAATAATTCCTCCCGGGTGGCACCAGGAACATATGGCAAGGGGAAGAGACAGAGAAAAGGGGAGACTACATGAAACCCGAAGACCGCATGTATGTTCTCCAGGGGCAGCCTCAGTAGCCTATGGGAATGGTCCTGATCCTCTCTGGGAAGAGGATCACCGCTTGACAGGCTTTCTTGACCCTCCCTAGGAAGGGGTCACTGCTTGACAGGCTTTCCCAGACGTGGAGTCAGGACCAAGGCAACTCCCAGGGGAGGGAGATTAAAATGAAACTCTCTGCCCAGTATTCCAAAGATGGGTGCCAGGGACCTGAATGAGGCCCCTGACTGTAATATTCAAGACTCTTTATATAAGGGGGTGTTGGGGAGCTGGGGTGATGCTTTTGACCAAACACTAAGGGCATGGATTTTCTCCAAGTAACAAAGAAACAGGCAGGATTCAAAAGAGACGCCAAGTAAAAATTTATAAATTCTGATTTTAAAAAATGAAAAATAAAACCAGTGCTCATAAGCATAAACAGTTGAGAGAAATAAGAACAGATAGATATAAAAAAAAGAATATTTTGTCAATAAAGTAGGAATCACATTTAAAAGCTAATTAGAAGGAGCACATTCCATATGGAAAACAGATAACAAGGATGCTGCTGATGTCACTAAGGCAGACAAATCAAAAGACCCTAAGGCATTTCTAACAGAACCCCACAAGATATTGTGAGGAGCAAAAAAGACAATGCATCTGATAAAATGGTTTGGCCAGAGCTAGTGTCACATGTCTTGCAGACATGAAGATCAGTGTCAATTTTAAACACTATGAATTGAGGTATGAGTCTGGACCTAATTAAGTTAGAGAGAAAAGTAGTCAGGAGAGTGAGGGAAAGAAAGACACACAGACACACAAGCATACACACACACACACACACACACACACAAAGAGAGAGAGAGAAACATACACATAGGCACACACATTCACACAGATACAGAGAGAGAGAGAGACAGACAGACAGACAGACAGACAGACAGAAAGACAGATGGACAGACACATAGGCACACACATGCACACAGACACACACACACACACACACACAGAGAAAGAGAGAGAAAGAGAGAGAGAGAGAGAGAGAGAGAGAGAGAGAGAGCAGGAAAGGAGCTGATATAATTAGAAAGTACTCTAGAAAAAATTACTAAGAGGGACAAAAGAAAGCATGAAAATAGAATGCATGAATAATTAGGACAAAAATCACATCTATAGCAGATGTTTACATGTTAAGAAAAAATGTTGTACCAGGCCCTGCCATATATTTGAAAACTTTATTAGAAAACACATATTAGAAAACTTTATTGACCAAAATAGAACCCACTAAAGCTTTTCCAAAAAGAACATCTGAGTAGTTTTACTACTAATAAAGAAATTGAAACTGTGGTTTGAAAGTGTTCCCCCCAGAAAGAACCCCAAGTCCTAATGATGCAGATGGCATTATAAAAATTCTACCAGAGAACAAAAGAGGAACAACCCAGCTCACGTCATAAACTTAGTAAGTTTAACACTGAAACCTAAGAAGCAGTCTGAGAAATAAAAATATAGGTCAATCAGGGTGATTTTCAAAATTCATCAATAGCAAAGTAAGTCTAAAGAAAATAAAATGATTGCAAATCTCCAGGTGACCATGTTGGATTTATGTTCAAACTTAAGGGTGCTTTTACACTTGAAAAATACTTAGTACCACTCACCATATTGATAGATATTTTTAATAAGTCTTTGAAAAGGTGTTCTTACCAGATGCATAGAAATGTATTGAATAAAATTTAATACATAAGCATCATAAAACCCAGTAAAAATCGGGTTTAGATGGGAGCCTCTTGAACCTGAAATGTATTCATCAAAAGAACTCATACCTAAAGTGAAAGAGCTGCAAGAATCACCTTAAAGGACAAAATAACAATGCCTCTGACTATTTCCCTCATCTGAAGCAAACCTAGCCGAGACAGCACAGCAGAGAAGGAAAGGAACCAGATCCATTTTTTTACAGCTACTATCCGTATAGAGCACAACAAACAACACACAAACAACTTAGGGGAGGCTGTATCTATGGTCTATTGAAGTGTTTGATTATTAACAACAGCATAAAATGATTGACGTATATCTATATCTAACCATAAAAATTTACCTTTACAAAAGACCATAATAAAATCATAACGTACAAAGATGATATAACAAATGACTATATGACCTATATGTAAACGATGATCAGATTTTTTTGAAAGATGCAAAGAAAAATGTTAAAATTGCTAAGACAACTGTGGTGATGAGGGTAAGGTGGAAATGGGAGGAAAGGAGGGAAGGGAAACTGTGACTGGGGTGATAGACAGACAGACAGACAGATGGATATAAGTCTTTAGGAACTGACACTATAAGAGCAAGTGTGGCCCTGTTGGGTAAAGTATGTCACTGTGAGAGCAGACTTCGAGGGTTCCTATACTCAGAGCATTCCAGTGTGGACACAAAGCACTTCTCGTTGCCTGTGGCTTAAGATGTAGAACTCTCAGCTCCTTTCCCAGCACCATGTCTGCCTGCATGCCACCATGTCCCACCATAATGATAATGAACTAAACCCCTAAAACTGTAAGTCACCCCAGTTAAGTATTTTCCTTTATAAGAGTTGTTGTGATCATGGTATCTCTTCACAGCAAGAGAAATCTAAAACAATAACCTACAAATAAGAATATAAAATATCTTATAATATTTAATGTTCTTGCCATTGACTTATCTATATAAAATGAAATGTCAATCAAACCTCTGGCATTTATTCATGGAACGTGATGATTTGACAGATGACCAACAGAATAAGAACACTGCCCAATTAGCTATCAAAACTGATTGCAAACTGAGTTGTTATAGAATAAACTTGTTGTACACTGTGAAGAAATATCTTTGCCAAGGTACCTTTGATTGTTTTGTTTGTTTGTTTTTCATAAAAGAGCTGACTAAGCAACAGCTAGGCAGAAAGAAGTAAGAAGTAGGTGGGAGACCCAAACTGAGAGGATACTGAGAAGAAGAAGGACAGAGTTGGGGGGAGGGGGAAGGGGTGATCATCAGTCAGACAGGGGATAAACATGCCATGCTAAAAAAAAAAACCAGTGCTGCCACATAGTAGGCCATAGAGAAGAAATATGGGTTAATTTAAGTTATAAGATCTCACTAGCAACAAGACTAAGCTATAGACCAAGCATTTATAATTAATAATATGTCTCTGTGTAGTTATTTGGGGAGCCAGCTGATAGGATAGAACTGACTGTTGGGACAGAAAAACTTTTTCTACACTGAGTTGGATATAAAAAACAAATTAACTAGCATATCACAATAGAAAATATTTAAGTAAATCTGGATTTACATAAAAATTATTTTAAAATATAAGTTTCACAGCAATTTATTTGAGGAGAAAAGCAGAATATAAAGTAAATTTTATTGGGAGAACTGCTTGTGCATATGGGGAACAGTCCAATTATACCATACTTTATAGCACAAGCAAAGATGATTTCTGGATGAATTAAAGAACTCAATATGAAAAAGCAAAAGAAAAAAGCCTTATTTTTTTTAAAAAAAATTTAATGTAGATGACTGACAACTGATTAATATTTAGGAGCTTTTTTATAAACAAATATATCAAAGGTTTTTAAAGAACTAATAAAACAAAATTTAAAGCTCATTAGCCTACGACACTTTTAATTACCTAGAAACCAGTTCTTCAAGAGTAGCAGAGAAATATAAGAACATTTCTGGAAAGATCTAGTGGTCATTATTTAATAAAGTAATATGAGAGAATGACAAAAACCCACGGAAGAGTAAAATGAAGAATGCAAGCACAACAATGAGACACATTAGTGTATGCTTTCACCTCAAGATATTCATAATAAAATTTCATATTATGTATGCTTTAATTGATAAAATACCCTAAAGAAAATATGAGGAAAGTGGATTCTTAAATAAACATTCAAAGTAAATTTAAGGACCTACTTATATTCTAGAAAAGAACAGAGATTTTGAAAGGCTTGCACATTGATAGTTAAAACTAGCTAATAATGCACATTGAAATTCCAGAAATTTTGTTAAAATTATGTTCAAAGAGTATAACTGAAAACTATGAAATAATATTTTTAAGTAAGTACTTTCATTTTATATACATAAATGTACTATTTCATGTAATAAAACATAAAATAATTAGTCTATTTTTCGTTACCCTTATTTAAAACAAGAGATTGAGAACATCTGAAAGAAGATATTCAGCAAGATTATTTGCTGTTTACAAAAAAATTAAACTTTGGAAATTTTAATAAGCCTAAAGATAGTATAAAATTCTTATTACCTCTCATATAAACACAATAAAAATTTTAGAAGCAGTTCATTAAAGTGAAGAATATACAACAATTTACAGTATACTGAAGATCCTAGCCAATGCTATATGAGAAGAAAAGTAAATTAGTTAAATAATTGAACTAAAGATATGAAACTTAAAAGACAAAAGGTTATCTTTTTTTGTTAGAGAATGCATTTGAAAATGCATGAAGGTAATTATTCTGGAGTATGTGAAGTATGAAATAAAAATGGAAAAACATATTCAAAATTTGAAAAATGAAAGCCACAAAGATTTCAAATGTTTTCATGTATTGTATGAGTAAAATTTAATTCCTTTCCATATCTGAGCAGAGAGGATTCATCAATGATTTTTTAATTGATTTTAAAATTCATGGAGATAGACACTACTGCAAGAGTGTCAAACCCAATATTAATTAGACTTGCTAATCAGTGATCATGGTAGAAGGAAAAGATTCTAGATAAAATATAAATAGTGAAATCAATAGTTAATGAGTGTACTTCAGGCGAAAAACTAATGAATGCAGGTTTTTAACAAAGTACAATAAGTAGCTTGCTTGTAGCCAAGCCATCTCTGCATAGGCTGATTGCTCCGTTATCCTACAGGAGTGGCACTAAGATGAGATTATCAATTGGAGAAGTCAGGAACATCTTTGACTCGCTTTTTCAGAGTTTGGAATTCATAACTTGGAAGACTCACCAATCACCAGCCTAGAGAATTGAGATTTTTTTAAAAAAAATACTTAATATTATATATACAATATTCTTTCTGTGTGTATGTCTGCAGGCCAGAAGAGGGTGCCCAACCTCATTACAGATGGTTGTGAGCCACCATGTGGTTGCCGGGAATTGAACTCAGGGCCTTTGGAAGAGCAGGCAGTGCTATTAACCACTGAGCCATCTCTCCAGCCCAAAAGAACTGAGATTTTGAAAACCTTCCAAGAGCCATGCACTGAGCATCCTGCATTAGGCACTGTCACTTGTGACCTTTTTCCTTCCTTTCAAGGTAATAGTGTGTTCGTCAATGGAGGCGAATTCAAGGACAGCCACAGGGTTGGTGGCAGATAGTCCACTTTTAGGAAGGTGCAGAAGGAAAGGAGGCAAAGGACCCTGGGAAAGCAAAGTGATGGGCCTGCCAGCACAGTGCAGCACTCAGCGCACACCCCCACTCTTGTTTCCTCCTTAACCAAAATGTAAATCAAGAGTGTCACAGGTGCATCAGTGAATAGTTCTTCAGGTAAGATGCCTTCCCGCTGGCTCTCTAAGCCTCCTAGACTCTGAGTGGGGAAGGAAGAGGGTGATTTACACATATTCACCGTCTTAGCTATTCCTGAGAAAGTAATTGCGTGGCCCTTGACAAGTCAGCAGTTTAGATGTGTCCCGCCATTTCCCCTTCAAGGGCTATCTCAGTTCCTCAGACAGATCATTATTCTACTCCTCATATATTCAAGGACGAAAAAGGATGCGCTCTCTTAAATCAAATTACCTTTAACGCCTGCAGCTTTGCTTCGAGCTCTGCTCTCCTGTGAATCATTGTTCCGTTAAGAGTCTCTATCCTGTTTGAAGAGAAAGAAAAGGTGGGGGTAAATCGCAGAGCTCTGCCTTCAAAGAGGTACCATCCCTGTGAAGCACCACATGTGAAGAACAGACTATACCAGAAATTCAACATAAATGCCAACTTTCCCAATGCGTTTAACTATGAGTGTGGACACTTGAGCATATGAACCTAAGCCAAGTTTTCCAAGAACATTGGGAGAGAGAAAGGGGAATGAAAAACTGTCTGACAAAAAGTAGAGAGAAAGATGTTGTTAATTTGCAAACCCTAGCTCATTTTCTAGAAGGCACTATTTGCTAATGGTGGTTGCTCTCCACTAGAATTGATTCTTGCCTGGACAAACTGAATAATCTCAGCCATTTGGTGAATGTTCACTGGACTTCTACTATGAGCCAGATAGGATGTCAACAAAAATGTTATTCAGGACATTCATTACAGGGGGCTCAATGTGCTAGTTGAAGCAGGGTAATTTTGTCTGCAACCTCGTATTGCTATTTTATCTCAGACCCTTTAGTTTACAAAGGCCATGTTAGAATTATCAGTTTAACAGTGCTCTTCTCTTCCTACATCAAAGATTTTTCTAAAAATAGGAGGTTTGTTCTCTCTGGAGCTGGTTTGTTTTGATTGTTGTTTTGACTACAAATTTCCCATCTGAGTATGATAGCTAATTTCACCTTTGAATCATACTCTTAAGCATTTGAAAGTATTTGTTCTAATTCCTTTTGACTAGTGCCTTGTAATTTTGTTCATAGAAGTGTGAGAAAAATTTAAAATGTGGTAAGAACACTATATGTGAACCACCTACTCTTCCGGCATCACACCCAACACAATAAGATGATAGTCTAAATTCGGTCTGATTTCTAATCGAGACAGTCTCTGTGTGGTGGGCAACAGAATCAGTATGAAGCTTCATAAGACTCTCAGTGTTGCTCAAGCCTGTCTAAATAAGGGATGTGCACAGCTGTAGAGATGCGCCCTTCCTTCAGTATTTGTCCACACTATCTCATGGTTTACCAATCATCTATTTCTAAGAACCATCTCTAACCTTATTTATCTGTGATCTTCTTGCCTTATCTATGTGGTACCTATTTTTCTGACTCTAACCAATAGCATTTTATCTATCTGGTTCTAGGTTTCTTTGAGGCCAGATCTTTCCTAACTTTTACCCTTGAGAACGAGAGTTCAGAGTGCGGGTCCCCACTCTGCCCTCATCAGTCACCCATGAAACTGCCTCCACACACCCACCCAAAATTTCCTTTGAAGTATCCATGAAGAATCTAGAAGATTCTGCTGGCAGCTCACCAAAAACAGCTGAAACTGGAAAGAGCAAATGCAAATCCATGGCAGGTTAAGTCCCGTTGTCACTCACTACTCAGCTGAACTTAACTAATCCCTCTTTACCTCGGGCACTAACTGTACATAAAGAAATAAACCCAGGCTGACAACGAGGCTTCAGAACAAAAACAGTTAGGTAACACTGAAACCACCTAACTCAGAATAAAATGTAAACTCCCTGGCACAGTAATGCTTCTCGAGATCTGATGTTTGGCCAACTATGACTTCATTGCTCATGCTTTCTCTCTAATCCACTAGCTGCCAAATTCACCTTGTCCTCAGGGTATGCGAAATCCTTTTCCAGGGCTCAAAGACATTTTTCTTTACCCCAGTGTTCCTACCAGAAGTTTATATGGCCACTCCTTCCTCAGCTCCAATCGTACATCGCTAAAGTGGAGTACATTGAACATCAAAACTCAGCTGACCACTTTCTTACTCCCCTGTTGCACTATTCTCTTTCCTTATATTGGTTATGAATAACTGCAACTAAAATACTTCAAGTTTTTCTTAGAAATCTTCTGTAATTTTTAGAGTTCAACGGTCTTTATTTTTGCCTTTTTAGAACATACACAGAGAAAAAAACTTAATATTTGCTCAGTATATATGATCTTAATGCAACAATAAATTCAATTATAATTGCTTATTATAATTGGGTTCTTGGAACAAACAAAAGCAAGCCCAGTGCTGTCTGTATGACATTGTGATGCAATGTCTATCCTTGTAGATTTATGTCCTTGAGGTTTTTAAAATCAGCCTCAAAGATTAAGCCCATTGAACAGCTGGGAAGACCAGTATCATTCTGATCAGTTGAACATGAGTACATGTTACTATGTATATTCCAAGGTGGGGAACATTGAGGAATTTTTTTCACTAACCCTTATGGAACAGTAACAGAGGAAAACAAGATGTTTGAGAATATGAGAGAGAAAAATGGTATAGCTGAAAGATTACAGGAACCATGAAAGCAGGACTAATCTCTCTTGGTCCAAAGAAATGTGTGCCAGTTTTATTGAATCAGATATTAAAAATACATTAGCAAATGATATCCCTTCTACAAAACACTTTTGTCTAGTGACATTCCCTGACTTCAGATGTTGACAATACGTTCATGACTCATGAAACCCTGAGAAACAAAAGAACCCCATAAAAATGTCTGCACCCATCCCAAAGTTGTGTGTGCTGCCTTGTTTTCGGTGACCCACAAATAGTCTATCCACTTACAGCAACACCCGCCCCCCCAGACATTCTTAGACACCAAAATGTCTTTGAAACCCCACAGCAACTAAGTGGATATTTACGTTAGCAGATTTCCTGATGATCGGATCAGGTCAACCACTTGTTTGTGGGTAAAGCCTTCTGTGCTCACACCATTGATATTTGCAAGGATGTCACCTGGGAGACGCCAAGGAAAATCAGTATTTTATTAGTTACTTAAGCGAAGCCTCCTGACGTGGAAATGAAGACAAGCAAGCAAGCTCCACCCCCAGTGTCGCTCAAGAAAATTCCAAGCAACCACTTCTTCCCAACCTTCACTCTCAAAAGAGTTTCTTGCTATTTAAATAGCTTCTAGCATGTGCAGGGCTAGGTTACCAGCTTGCAGGCCGGCACAGTGAGCGGGGCTGTCTTCCTGTACTTTGTAGATCATGGTACATACTTCCGAGGAGGAGATGTTCTGGTTCTGGAGCCTGTAGGTCTATAAAATTGAAGTGGGTACATGGTAACTTTTCAAAGACGTCAGCAAATATTTGTCAAAACATCAACGCGTGCCAGCAGCATTAAGTGGCACAATAGGTAAGGGGAAAGGCCAACTTGGAAATGCTTTCCTCGCTGTACACTGAACGGAAGGTACCAATTTTGTAATTCCAGCAGATCATTGGCAGCCAATTCCATTCATAAAGAACATCTGGCATGAACAAGAGAGTGGGATGCAAGTGGCTCTAAATGGTCTGTTTTCAAATCCCAGAGACCACCCGATGCTATCACTGTGTATTTACTAAGGAAGAAATTAAACTTCTTATTCTCCGTGGGATGAAACAGTGGTAGCCATGTGCAAAGGAAAAGCTCCTTGTGGGTCTTGCAGGCTAAAGCAGGCACTGGGGAAGAGTATGAGACACAAAATATCCAGCAGGAAGACTGCGGATATTTCAAATATCCAACATAATAAAACCGGCAGTGATTATAGTAAATCAGAGTTCTGCAAATGAAGGCAATCTGTCCTGTGTTTGTTCTAAGTGGCCTAATAGACTAGATCAATTTCAGTTCTCAGTGCACAAGACCCCTCCTGCCCTGAATTCTTACCAGTTCCTCAGTCATCCAACTAAACAAAAAGAGACATGCTTCCCCAAGTGTCTCTGTTTGATACAAAAACTCAGTGGTACTGGGTTTTATTGATGATGTTTTTAGTTTTCACGTCAAAATGTGTAAAACACTAAGGAGACATTTGATACATATAGGACTCCCATAACTCCAAACAAGCATGCTTTCCTACTTAATAATTTTAGTTGTGGAATGGAATTCCATCTAGAACCAAAATCAGTGTTTTGAGTTGTCTTTTAAAGATCTGATTACTAAAAATTAAGCCACATTATTGTTTCCTTCTCGAGAAATCTATGGCTGAGACGCCATAATCAGTTGCAAGCATGTTGCTTTAAGAGCTAGCCACTTGGTCCTGCTAAATGCTACAAGATGTCTGCTCAACTATAAAGTGTTTAGAATCCTCTATTTGAAAAGCAGAGAAGCTTCGCAGGTCCCACCTGAATCAGAAACCTTTTTGAGAGTTTCCTGCCCTAGATCACACCACAGCTCAGCTCCTTCTCGAAACAGAAGCCAAGCTAGTTTATGTGCTGCAAGAGCCAAGGATTGAGCTAATACACCTTCTAGAAGCTACTGTTCTAGCACTCCCCATCAACAGGGAGACCCGCCCTCCACTCCCAGGTGTCAAGGTGAACAAAGTGCAGTTGTCAATTTGGGGATTAGAGACAGAAAGCAAACCCAAAAGCCATGTAGACTCAGAAAAAAATACTTTGTAGTGGCGTTTCATTTGTGTTTTTAATAAATAAGCTTGCCTGAAGATGAGAAAAGCAAAACAGCCATACTGGTCAGTCTTACACCTTTAAATCCAGTAGTCACACTAGCTTGCCATAGAAACCAGGAAGTAATGCACACCCTTAATTCCAGAACTAGAGAGGATTATAAAACAGAAGACAGCTCTCATTCTCCATCTCATTCGGAGGTTTCCTAGAGGCAGGATTCATCATTTTGGAACTGAGGTCAAGGTAATAACCAGTGGCTGGCTGCTTTGTTTTTCTGATCTTCAGGGTGAACCCCAATATCTGTCTCTGAGTTTTTATTACGCCCCATCTTATACCCATATCTCCTATCCTGACACTGTCATTGGCTCGGAAAGCAATTGTCAAGAGCACTGCTGTGAATTGTTAACTTCTGAGATAACATGTATGTACTGTTATCTAGCTTAGGGCTAGAACTACCAGGTCTCCTTGAGCTCCTAAACTGTCATGTCTCTGAGGCCCCTTGTCTAGTAATGATGATGTGTATGATTCTACACACACTCTTGCGGTGAAAGAGACAAGGAAGGATGTAGCAATGTGACCCACTAGTGGGAAAACAAGACAGGCAGGCCCTCGGTCACCCTGCTTCCAGTTGCTACCACGAGGCAACCTTGAAGAGGCCCGTAATGGGCATGCAGCATCCCTTCAAAGAAAGGCAAATGGCTCCTGTGAGGAGACCATACTTTCAAAATCTTATAGATATCCCCCATTATTGTGGAAAATTATGTCTCCATGTTTTTATGGTAAACTTTAAAGTAGGGATCTCAGAAAGCAGAAGTCTTTTCTCCCACGACTTCCTTGATCATTCCAGGTTGTTTCTTTACTCAGAGAGCATGTTTAAGGCAGCAGTTTCCTCCTCTGGCTACTAAAATATACACCAGGTTTCCTTTTATGGGGTTGATATCACACCAAGGTTTTCCAAAAGCAGCACTCGGTGGAGCGAAGATCTAAAATCTGACGTAGAGCATAAGAACCCGATTGTGCAAAGCACATCAGAAAGAAAGGCAGAAATGATGTGAAAACTTGAGACTGGAGTTGTTACTACTGCTCTCGATTGAACGACAGCCCACGTGACCGCCTCCATTCGCCATCTTCACAAACATAATCGTGAAAAGACAGACAGCACATAAAAAAATTCTTGGACAGCCACACTGAAACCCATAAAGAAGGGTAAAAATTTCTACCCATGGTTTTCAAGTAATAGAGTTATTATCTATTATTATCTATATATTATAAATAATATTACATATCTATTATATATATATAAATAATAACATATGTAATTATTATATATCTATTATTATCATGGGGAAAGGGTTACAAATTTCTTATTGTACCCAATAAGAAATGCTGGGTCTCTGTTAAGGTATATATGGATTTATATATAAAATTTACCATCTCACAAGTATTTTTCTTTACTTGCCCTTTTATTTTTTGACACAGGGTTTCACAATGTAGTCCTGGCTAGCCTGGAACTCCCTTCCACCCTCTGCCTCCCAAGTGCTGGGATTAAAGCCATGGACCACCATGCCTAGCTCAAGTATTTAAAATCTGATAGATATACAGTACAAGAATATGATTATATGAAAATAAACTTCTGTAAAATGTCCTTTGCTTTCCTCTTAAGGTCCTGAAATGTCAAGCATCTGTGTCTGACCAATCCTTTAGACTGTAGTGACTGGGCCCAAGGAGAAAGTGTGTCTCTAGGGAAACAGAAGTTCCAGTGTTTCCTCTCCCTGGTAGTACTTAGTGTACTGAAAATCAGTCACACACTAAATAAAAGCCAGTCCCCATCATCGTTCTAAGCCTGTCCTAACCACATCGCTCTTTCCAAATATTATGGTGTAATTAGTGTCTGCTTCTTCCTTGAAAATCTAGAATGTTTACAAACTGCCCACCTGTATTTCAAATCCAAATGCTCCATTGTCCTGCTTTTCCACAGTAACAAGCTTTCTGAAAGAAAAAAGTTTAAACTGCATAAGTAACAAAGCATCATATTTGGAATATATTTAGCATTAACAATTACTGTTACAATAAAAACTAGTTTTCATTTCTGTAATTTTATTATGGATTAGTGGTGCATACTATTGTGAGCATGTGCAGGTGTAAATGCGCGCACGTGTGTGTGTGTGTGTGTGTGTGTGTGTGTGTGTGTGTGCACCCACACGCGTGCGCACATACTGGAACACTTATATCCATAAACATCTCTGACAGAGACCTAATAAAAAAGAAAAAGGAAGGAAGGAAGGATGGAAGAAAGAAAGAAGGAAAGGAAGAAAGAAAGAAAGAAGAAAGAAAGAAAGAAAGAAAGAAAGAAAGAAAGAAAGAAGGAAGGAAAAGGAATCTCTTTACCTTTGAGACCAGGAAAATTCACCTAGAGAACTTGATCTGGCCAAAGCAAGCTGAAAAATACAAAGATCGCAGAGTTATCTCAAGGTCTTTAAGATGTGTCTGCAACTGTTCTGGGTTACAAAGGACTTTGTTCTTCATCATCATCCTGGAAACTTTATTAGGTAAGATTAGTACTGTCCATTCTCTCACAACAGCGAAGGAGAGTCTGGGAGAAGAGGGACTCCCAGACATTCTATTGAGACGATGAAGAGAGGCTCAGATAGTAAGATACTGGGTGAGGAGAATGTTTGCTCCCTGTATCAGAACGTCAAGTTTCTAAGGATTGCTTTATGTCTAACCCAAGATTATGTTAACCTCTCAAACTGAGCTATAGCAATTTACAACCATACTGAAACTCCTACCCAGAGTTTGGCATGGAAACCATAGTCCATATTTTCTGTAGCTGCAGACGAAATGCTTATATTTACTGTAACAGTTCTACATGTTACTCCTTTTACCAGGTTAAGATAATCTGTAAAGAATGAGCTCACATACAGAAATATAATTTAAGACGCTGGCAAAATGGCTCAGTAGGTAAAGATGCTCACAAGCCTCACCGCATAGGTTTGATCAGTAGGAAGGGAGAACCATCTCCTGCAGTTTATCTTCTGATACTTCCTCATGCATAGCATTACACGCATGCACATGTGTGCATACACACACACACAGGGAGAGAGAGAGAGAGAAAGAGAGAGAGAGAGAGAGAGAGAGAGAGAGTGTCACTAGCACCACCACCCACACACAAGTAGTTAGAATAGAAAATAAGAAATAGATTCAGAAAAATAATAAAGGAGGGACTCCAAACCCCAATTCTGATTATGATTTATTTTCACAATAGTTTAGGAAGAGCGTAGTGAGATTTCCTGCCAAAACTGTGAAGAAACCTCATAATGCTATAAATAACAACACTTTCACTCCTCTGCTCATTTTGGGAAAAGTCATATAAACAATAAGGCTCCGGGACAGACCCAAATTCTTATAAAGAGAAAATGTCAGCAACAGGAGAGACCTTCATCTTAAGGGACTGTGACCAGTTTTAGTTTTGGTTTCCTCTGTTTACGAAACATTTTATAGATGACAGTTATTAATTAGTCCTTTCTTAAATATTGTTCTAAGGACTTCAAACATATCATTAATCCCCTAATTAAGCCATGATATTTAAAAAATATTTTATTTTTATTATATACTTATATGAATATTTTGCCTGAACGTATGTATGTACATGGTGTGCATGACCTATGTCTGTGCAGGTCAGAAGTCATCAGATCCTTGGAACTGGAATTAAAGACTGCCTGTCAGGAACTTCCATGAGAACACCAGAAATTGAATCCAGGTCCCCTACAAGAGCAGCAAGGGCCATGACATTTAACTGCCAACATAATGTAATTGTCATTCATAAACAATCAAAATGGTAGATCAAAGAGGTTGATAATGATAACTAAAAATAATGTGAAGATAAAACCCAGACATAGAAAATACATATGAGAAATTAATGCATACAGGACAAATTCCATAGATGCCTACATTACCATAAATTCAAATTGCCAGGTACCAAATGCCAACAAGTTCACAAATTTTCTGGAATGCCTCGATGTTAAAAATTCAGCCACCAGTCACTACATATAATGGAGAGATGATGTCACCACACAGGCTTCATGTGTAACAGCTGCATTGTCCTCTTTTGTCAGATGTGCCTGGAGTCCCAAACAGGAAGGCTCAGGCCCCAAATTACCCTCTAGGCTTGTAATAAGTTTCTAATGTTAATTTATAAGGACTAGTTATGGGATAGTTGCAGCAATTTGGATGGTTTGTCATAATCTGATTTTCTGCCTTAATACTTAGTGTACACACACACACACACACACACACACACGGTGGGGGGAGGCATGGAAAAATTAACAGGGTTAGGAACTTTTCAGTTACATCAGAAAGCTGCATCCCTGTGAATTGGGGCTAAAAAAAGAAGGTGATATTCACAAACATCGCACCCTTACATTGTGTTCATATTTTCTTGATCTATTTTCAATATCGCCATCTCCTTGGATTCACCCTTCATTCAGATTGACAAATACTCAGTTCAGCTGTATTTAATTTTGTTAATTACAATCCCAGTGGAGGGTTTTGTGTTTTTAAAACGTTGCTCTTACTATTATGGTTTGCCATCTCGCATTACCGTCCACACGGAGGCTTGTATGTGCCCATGTGTACCCATCTAGATGAAGAGCGCATCTGATTGAACGCTTCACTTCTTCAGCTAATCATCTGTGTGCTTTGGGACTCTGGAGAAATAAACTGGCTTTATTTCTCACCTCGGTGATTCACAGAGGCCTAGAGTAGAATGTGACTTTAAAAATAGTAAAACAGACAGACAGAACTAAACCTCAGACGCCATCTGCAACTGAAAGATGGTGAGAGATCCCGAGTAAGACATTCAAGTTCAGTCAGATGCGCTAAGATCCTCTTTAACTTTGTCCTTCATTAAATTAAAGCTTCATGAGAAAAAAATCAAAGATGATTTTCAAAAGATAAAAATGTGAAAAATTAAACACAGGCGATTTTAGTATTCACTGAAACTCCCTCCCTATACTATTCTGTTTTATTATTTTACTTGTATCTTCATACTCTTTACTTATTTTTCTGATTTCTACACCCCTACCCTGGCAAGAGATATTTTTGTCAAGGCTGGACCCTGACAATCTAAAACATATAAAAGGATTTTAAAACCATCAAGTAGTATAGAAAGAGGGCTAAGAGAAAATAAACTAAAATGGTGGTATCTTAAGACCTAATGCTAAATAAACTAATGTTAACAATTAACCAGTCCTCAAGAACTAACCAATTGGCAAGAACTAAGAAAACATCTGACTAGCACAGTGTTCAGTGTCCCTTTCTTAGCCCCATAGACATAGAATTGATGTGAGCCTCAGGATTTCCTCAGTATGCCTTTTCAGTGACAGGTTATTATGGATAGACTCAACTCTAAAATTTAAAATAGATCAGACTTCTCCATTCAGGCAAGGAGTTGCTCACCTCTCTCCTTGTAACAGTTATGTGTAGCTTGCTGGGTAAATAGTAATGAGGAACACTCCCGTGGCTGATATGTTTGGGTTACCAGTGACACAAAACGTCCAGACAAAACCAGATTATAAATTAGTTTCCATTCTGGACTGGAGGAGATTTTAAACAATGAGTATATAAATACAAAGCAATTTAAATGCATTAGCTACCGTGAAACTCTCTGATGGTGGCCAATCACACAAAGTCTTCTTGGTTTTGATCTGAGCTGTCCAAAGGGGTGACATAAAAAGAAACTACTCACAGGCATCTGCCTTGCTCCCCTGCTAAACTGCTTGTTACTTGGAGTGTGTCCTAAGGCCTTCTCAAGGGTTTTCTGAATTAAGTTTTTTCTGTGTCTGTCTCCCTGGCATGCATCAGCCCTATTTGAAGATTTGACCTTGGAGTAGGTGTTGAGCAGACAGACTGCCCTCCCAGCCAGAGTCTTCCTGTGTTGTAGTGATGGCACACACACAAGAAAGAAATCATGAATGGAGAACTGGTGTGCAATTCACAGCATATGCTGGCAACAGCTGTCTTTTATTACACATTATCTAATATGAGAAGTCTAGGTTTAGCAATTTGGCAGACTTGAAAGCAGCACATTCGGCTCTGACTACAGCAAACCAGGCTCCTTAGCGTCTTAGACTTAGGAGTCTAGTGATGTCTGGGACTGATCGCAGGGACGTTCCTCTGCTTTTGGGGAGACGACTTAAAAGGCAAGGCATTAATATTCCACACCGTGTGTCTCCTGCTAAACAGCGATTCGCAGGTCTCTCTTTAGTGGAAAACCAAGACCAAACACAGCAGCTGTCGGCGGGCAAAGCAGAGAGGAAGTCGGAAACACGGCTTGATGGTGAAACCTCCTAAACGCAGCTCAGAGACCAACACAGAAGCACTTTGGCTGCGAAGGCAGACCTTTGTTTTTGTCCTGGCTCTATGGACTCATTTCCTGCGAGAGTTGTGGGTGTAGTTAGGGGAAGGACTGGATACAGAGGTGGTCTTCTTCTTTTTTTTTTAATACTTTATTTCGAATTATGATTCTTCCCAATTCTCTGCCTATCTCACTTTCATTCTCAACTGTTCCATGAATACAGTTCTCCACATCTTTTGAAAGTCAGACAATTAAGACAGAAAGGATCAAGCTACCCAAAGACACACCAAAATAATGAAACTGAAGCCAATGCCCTAACTTATAATACCTCTAAGGGAGCTAAATAGGACATTCCAGCTTCCAGGAAGGTCTGATTATAGCCCCACACCTTTTTCAAAACAAGAACGGTTGAGTATTTGAACCAGCCTAACACTGCAGAATTGATTTTGCCTAATGAGATACTGGCAAAAGTCCAAAGAACATCCCTGTGGGCAGAACTCAACTGAGAACTACACCCATTACAAGCATTTAGCACCATCCCTACCTGAAACTGTGTCTGAAACCAGCTTTCTAGAACCTTCCGATTTAGTGAAAATTTAATCACTCAAAGAAAACTAGACAATGGCAATCAATTTGGGTCTAATTCATAATTAAACTGCATACCTGTGTGCCAGGTTCCTGATTCTCACTGCCACACTAGGCAAGAGCCACCTTCATTGCAGCCTTGTGAGAGTGTCAGGCAGGCACTATCTCTACCCCTTGGACATGGCATGCTTACAAGACTTCCCTTCTCTTCCATCAACCTCCCTCAGGGTTTTATATTGCAGGGGCTTTGCCCCAAAAACCTATGTTCAAAATTAGAAGCGTTACTGCTCTGTCTGGCACTCCCTACCAATGCAGGTACTGAAATAATAGGCACACACAGAAATCTATTTTTAAACAATTAGGATTAGGGTGCAAACACCCAGTGGATTCTGAAGATTAAGGTGAAGCTAGAAGCTAGCCAGATATAGCTTTGCAGAAACCAAAGCCACAATAACAAGAAGTACGAATGTTGACGTCAGCCCTCAAAGTGTTGAAAATAACAGCAGACAGAGGAACACCTGCTGCTGCTGCTGCTACTATTGCCTCACAGGATCCTGCTGCAGACCACGCAGACAGTGCCAGAGGGGTGGCTTTTGTCCTTGCTGTTGTTTGTTTGTGTTTCTAAGAAAACAATTAATAAGAAGCAAACGTCCATGTGGAAAATTATAAAATCGTGGCATACACCTGCATAAAGTTTCACTGACAGTGATTACATAGAACCACGGGTACCGTGCTCCAAAGGTTTGGTTTAGAAAAAGGGTTTGTTATTTTTTAAATTCCGCGATGGGGTTTCTCTGCGTAGCCCTAGATGTCCTGGAACTCACTCTATAGACCAAGTTGGCCTTGGCTTAGAGATCACCACCACCACTAGGCCAGAAAAAGTCTGAAGAATAGGGGAAGTATATCACACAGTGTGTTAAAGAGGACAAGAAGAGAAAGCGAAGAAATAGAGAACACGTAATAAGTTAATGGTCTAGGAAGTCTGCATGCTCACACATTTTATATGCCTAAATCCCTCTTACCGTTCCCTCCAATAGTCACCGAATCCTACTGGTTGTCCTTTTCCCATTCATAGTAGCCTTACTCAGGCTTAAGAACCAGATGTGCCTCATCGGCCTTCAGTGCCATTGACCACCAAGTCTTTACCTCTTCACTGCTTCATTTCCTCTTTCTCCAACTACTGTAAAAGCCCACCCACCAACCCGCCACTTTTCTAGAACGAAGTTCCTAAATTTCACAACATCTCAAACCTACTCAGTGGCTCTGGAGGCTGGTCCAATTATAGTTAGATTTCTGCATCCATCCATTCAACCAGCTGAAGACAAAGAGATTCCATAGAAACAAAACATGACATCTGAACTGAACGGATACGTTTCTTTACTGTCATCATTCTCCAAATGATGCAATGTGCCAACTAGACATATAGCCAGTGATCATGTCTTAGGTATTAGACCTGATCCTAGCAGTTTACATGCAAATAGACTGCCACTTCACACCAGGGATTCCATTATCTGCAGTCTTTGTTCTACATGGGTGGGGGTTTTAGAACTAGCATGGACAGCAACAGCCAACTGAACTGCTTTCTCAAGGAAATTTACCCACAAGTCTGTCTCTTCTCTCACAGGCACACTGCATCTTCCTGACACACCAAGCACTGTGTGACTGTGCTAACCTGACCCCCAAGGCCCAGGAGTCTGTGCCTCCTCCTTAGGGAGTCCCTTGTTTAGGGGTACCAGACTGCAGGATGGTTTTCAGAGTCATGTTACATATCTGTTGTATAGCACCTATTCGTTCTGTCCCTAAACTGTAACCCTTCTCTAGAAAGGAAACAGGCCCTTGTGACTGATCTAGCTAGTCTGATGGTTTTTGCCTTGTAGGGGTCCAGCATGATTTCATGCTTGAGCTGAAAAGGAGATGTGGAAAGATCCATCCCTTGATGCAATCTTAGCAAGTTGCTTTCCCGCTAAGAAATGTACCCAGAGAACAAATCATAGACTAAACAAATGAACAGAATTGAGTTTAACAGCTTCATGGCAAATAGAAACAGAAATGGACCAAAGTTTATCTAGAACCTGAGTAAAGATGTTGGTGTTTGCTGTGCTGCCCATTTGTAAATTGATACAAATGTTCGTGAAACTTTAAATCATGAAAGCACTTTGGATTGAAAGTGATAATCAAGTCTTGGCAAATGATGCCATCATCTTCATCTTCATCGCTGTGGAAAATGCCAAGGGATCAGTTCACCATATCGCTGAAAGAAGAAGCTGCCTCGCCTCCAAGCTGGGACTCCTTAATGCTAAGGTTAAAAGCACTCAGAGAAGAACACAATGCACATAAGACCACATAGCTATACTCTCAGGCTCTCAGCCAATGCTAAACATCTTGTGTACAATTGTTGTATGAAAATTCAAATATATACTTTGGACCAATCAATATGACCAAAAAATACAAAGAGATACGTGGTTAATTCAAGGCCAAAAATTCAGAACAAATTCTTGTAGACATAGATTTTCCCAAGTGAGTGCCCATCTCTAAAAAAAAGTTTATGCAATAAAAATTTCCAAACAGCCTTTACCAAGCACCGGGTGCCCTATACATTTCCTTACTTAAGGAGTACAGAGTTCAAGGATGGTGTTTCTGCCGTTGCCTAATCAAATGAATGGAATTTCGTACAATAGCCTTTTTTTGTAAGGGACATACTGTGAGGGCGGCTGGCACCTTGCTCAAGATGCCACAGCCACTAAGCAGCCAAACTGGGTGTTTGGTCAATGTTTACCTCCCCACAAAGGTTTTCCCTCCCAGCATCTCTGGGTCGTGTCAATGTTCTGGAGATGAGGAGCTAATTTAGTTCACAACCTTTGTGTTCCAGGATGCATCGTCTCTTAATTGGGAACTAGTAGGACTACCTAGGCCTGGAGGTGAGAACAGGAGTGAGAGAATCGATGGAGACACAAAGGGGAAAATTCTGATGATGATGCTTGCATCCCTGTAAACCGTCTTCAAGTTTGTTGAGCTCAACAACCTCATTTTACTTGAGCACATACTTAAAAAGAAATATTTGAGTCTTACTTTTAAAAAAATTAAGACTGTTTCCCCCTCTCTGGAGTGCTACACTGTCTCTTTTGCGCATGTCACCTTCTTCCCCGCACATACTCACAGTCAGTAACTCCTAAGTGGACTGACTTAGTAGATAGAGATTATCCATAGGCGGGGAAAGATTCTCTTTTGAACCAAGCTCACTCCTAAGGATGGGAATTGAGGCTAGGAGTCACGAATTTCATGGAGACACGCAGGAGCAAGTACCACTTTTGGCCATCGTCAGACAAACATGAACATTCTAGACAGAAGTGCAATCGTACCTGTTTTCTTCCCCGAGGCAAAGTAGCCACAGTGTCTGCCAGCATCTGGATCCTTCTGCCGTCCTCCATCGTGAGTGGGCCCGTGAGCATGGAGTAGGCACCATATGAGGAATCAGCACAGTACTCCAAGTTGCCATTGCTGCTCTGCTGCTGTAGAAGCCTTTGCAAAGACATTGTGGACAAAGATTAATCCCGCCGGCACATGCTGCAGTGGCCTTGCCAGAGGGGGGAAGTGAAATGCACCCTCTGACAGGCAGTCAAAAAGTAGCAAAGCAGAATGGACCCACGTGACTGCTGTGGTTTGAGGTACAGTTGCACAAACCCTATCTAGAAGCGCTCCCACTCCCCAGGGCTCCTGAGAGAACCTCACGCTCCTTTTCTACAATAAAAAAGAAAGAAAGAATCGCTTAATCACTTTGCTTTTTCTTTCTCCCTCAAACAGCCAGAACACTTAGAATTTGATACTCTATGACTACCTGTACTCAAAACAGAATCTTCTAGTTTTTAAAAGGAAAAAGAGTCTTGCTCAAGTTCTGTCATCTGTTTCCTACCAGGCTCTCATTTAACATTAGCACCGCAGTGCACATGGCGGACAGCACCCACCCTCGGCTCTGAGGGCTCTAAGCATCACAGACGCTGGTCATGTTGCTCTCCAGAGAGTCTGTGTAGTGCTCCTCCCCTGAAGGACACCCTAGCTGGTTAAAATTCCTCAAGAAGGCATTCATTCATTTCAGCTGTGGCATTGGCGCCTGCCTTCCTACCTCTGTGCTGCTCTGTCCTTCCGGAAGGAAGGGCAGTATGTGTAGCATAGAATGTTGGTCATGTCTGGGACTGGACATAGCTGAAGTGTTGGGGGGAAAGAATGGGGTAGGTAAGAAGGGAATAGGCAGGCTAGGTAGCACAACATGGCCCCATTGTTCTAATGTGGCCATCACAGGGTACCTGAAAACAGTGGCTATTTTTTATTTTTTATTATTAAAGTCATTTGAAGAGAACAATTTTCATAGAGAAGCAGAGCAGGACTGGAGGTAGACTCAACACAAAAGTAAAAAGAAGAAGTTTTAAATAGCACAGAAGTCAAACACGCATCTAAAAGTCGTTCGGAAGGTCACCACCAGGGTTGACGCTAGAAGGGAATGTGTGCGTTGGAAGTTGAGGTGAATTCAGCTTACGCAAAACTTGCCAAATGTGAATTGTAAAGTCTTCAGAATTAATCAAAAGAGGGAGCCAAATCGGAGAATGGGGAAGCTCGGCCATCGTATGACTCCTTACTCTTGGAACTGGATTAAGATACAAGCAAAATGGTATCCACCAAAACATATAAAATTCAAGTCAGAATATACAAACACACACCCTTTCAGGGGACAGGGAAGTGTAATGCAAAAGGGAGTGGCAGTGACTTTCATAGTTAAACAAAAATGAATCATAGAAGTATTCATGTAAGGCATGCACAGCTCTGAAAGTACATTATTATAAATGTGTGTGTGCATGTACATGTGTGTATGCGTATGTGTGTGCCTGTGTGTGCGTGTGTGTGCACGTGTGTACCTGAGTGTGTGCGTGTGTGTGTGTACATGTGTGTGTGCCTGTGTGTGTGTGTGCACGTATGTGTGTGTGCCCATGTGTGTGCATGTTAGAAAGGGATATTAGAGAGTCTATGAAGCATGTAACGCAATTAATGGATAACATTCATCCTTGTCCTCGAGGAAATTTATGGTTAAGTAAATGTGTTAATATTTCAAAATATCAAATCTAGCCAAGTTTTATAGATGAAAGCTAAAATTGTATGAATTTAGTGTTATAAAAATATTAGATTGTAGACTATATATCTTGATGACTAACTGGGGAAATATGAAAGTATTTTTCACTATATAAGTTGTGGAATTCATTTATCAAGCTGAATCTTTTTAATAAGTACACTTTATTTTATACTCCATGAGTATAAATATCAGTCAAAGGCAGATCTGCTCCCTGCCCATACATGTCAGTCAGGTCACACCCACTAATTACGTGTTTATGAACTGGCCAATCTCTATGGCTCTGCTCTCTGTTTCTGATTCTGAAGGCCTGTGTCAAGTCACTTATTATATGTTTTAAATAACATCCTGGTGCGGGAGAATTGCCTGTGACCTGTCAATCATGTTTTAAATAAACACTGATTGACCAGGCAGGAGGTGTAGGCAGGAAAACCAGACAGCAAGTGAAAATGATGCAAGGAGAGAAGGAGAATTCTGGGGAGGAGGAAGTTGATTCCTCCCACTCCTGCCCAGATCACTGAAGCAGCAGGATGTGATCTGCCCAGCTAAAAAAGGTACTGAGCCATATGGCAAAAATAGATCAGAACAACGGGTTAATCAAGATATGAGAGTTAGCTAATAAGAAGCAAGAGTTAATGGGCCAATCAGCTTTATAACTTACGAAGTCCTCTGTGTGGTTGATTTTATTTGGGACTTGCCGGCTGTGGGGTACTGGGTGGGACAGAAACCCCAACAAGCCAGTCCCTCATGTTACAACATTCTGCTCGGAAGTGTATGTTGTGATACAATGAGGTGAAGCACTTGTCCTTCAACGGCAATGAAGCCTCTCTCTACTGTACAGATTCCAGAACTCCTGTGTTTTCTCTTTTTTGTCCTCTAGGATTTACTTTCAGAGAATGGTAAGTGCCTACTTGCCATTCCCCTTCAGCTTCTACATCACTGAGGAAGGGATGCTGAGGATGCTCTGGTCAAGCTGCCCACCATGCAGGTCTCAGGTGTGCTGCACTCTCCATGGAACAGAATGAACACAATCCAAGTTCTTTTCTCACTCTATCTCTGAAGGGACCTGTCATATTGCTTTTTATCATTCTTTTAAGCCCTAAATACTACACGTGGGTCATAGTTAGAGACATTTAAGACTGTACATTAATGCACTGTTTCCTCTCATTTCTGGAAATCAAAAGACATCTTTTAACTTTAAGTTTGTGTTTTATGTCTTCTATGCAAAAATTGTAAAAGAAATGTCTGTCAATAAAAGTAAAAAAGGAGTTATTTTTTAAAAATTAATTAAATAGTAATTTTCTGAAGCATTGGGGAAGAAAAAACAACCTAAGAAAGAAAGAAAGAAAGGAAGGAAGGAAGGAAGGAAGGAGGAAAGGAAGGAAGGAAGGAAGGAAGGAAGGAAGGAAGGAAGGAAGGAAG